ATTTTTCTCTTTTGTAGCGAATTTGTATCATTGGAAAAATAAGTGTTTCTCTTTCGAAGTGAATGTCATTGAAATTATAAGAGATAAAAAAAATTTTCAGAATGAAAATAGAATGGCTTCAAAAGTACTTTAGAACTATAATAAAAAAAATTTTTTTAATAATTTTTTATAATAAAAGTTATTTTTTTATAATGAAAAAAATTTTTTTATTATAGTTCTAAAGTATTTTTGAAGTTGTTCTGTTTTCATTATGAAAATTTTTTTCTATCTCTTACAATTTCAGCGACATTTCGCTTCGCAAAAGAAATACCGATTTTTTTCTAAAGGATGTTCTACGCCCTAAAAATGCATATTGGCACGTATAAAAAAATGTCGCTTATTTTTGATTAGAAAATATCATACTAAATCTCATTAAAATCGGAGAAGAACAGGATCCCTCTCCTAAGTTATAGATTTTTTTTAATGTAATGAACATGGGTATTAAATTTGATGGATAGTTTAATGGAAATAAACTAAACATTCAATTTTCAATTTAGTGTTTTTCAATACTTAAGTTTTCTGTTACTACAAACTTAACTTAAACATCTCATATTAACGTATACATAAATAATTTTTTCAGTAACAGAAAATTTAAATTTTATTCATCAGTGAACATTAAAGCTTAATAAAATTTAAGAACGTTTTTAATGTTTACAATTAATGATATATAATTAAACTTGTTAAAGAAACATGTGAAAAAGAACCTCAGTCAAATGCGTCATTATGGAAAAATAATATATTTGTATTTATAATGTAGCGGCTATCTACGCGAGCTTATACTAAAATTTCAAGTGTACACGTATTAACATGTCAAAAAATAAAACTCCAACTAAATATAGCATAAAACGACGCGATAGCTCCGATGAAGTGTGTATCGAAACGTAATTAAATAGAAATATCGTATAATAAAGCAAGCGACTAGACATACGCGACGATCAGCATACGCTTTGCGTAGTGCTCTAATTAATTACAACGCTTAACATATCTATAATTGTATTAAAACGTATTTAACGTATTCGTGCTAAATAACGATTTATAATGATAAAAAATGTATAAGGAAAACTTCAGCTAAAATAACATTTTTGAATAGTGTAGGTGCGATTTGGTGAAACACATAGGATCGTCAGTTAGTATCTGATTAACTATTGGTACATCGTTAGTATCTCATTAATTATTGGGGAAACTTACAAAATGATAGAGGACTTTTCGACTCAGTTTAGTCCGCTCTACTTGTCCATGAAATATTTGGCGATTATTTCCAGA